ACAATCTATTACATATGCAATAGCATTATGTCTAAAAAAAACAATGTACATACCTTAATTTAAAACTACTTTATTGCTAAAATGCTAACCGTCATCTGAGCAGAGAGTGGTAATCTTTTTCCTGGTAGAGGGTCTTACCTCATTGTTCATGGCAGCTGACTGATGAGGGTGGTGGTTGCCGAAGGTTGGGGTGTGGCAATTTCTTAAAATAAAACAATGAAGTTTACAGGGCACCTGGGTGGCTCAGTCGTTAGGCGTCTGCCTTCGGCTCAGGTCATGGTCCCAGGGTCCTGGGATCGAGCCCCGCATCAGGCTCCCTGCTTGGCAGGAAACCTGTTTCTCCCTCTGCACTCCCCCTGCTTGTGTTCCCTCTCTCGCTGTGTGTCTCTCTCTGTCAAATAAATAAAATCTTAAAAAAAAAAAAAATAAGACGATGAAGTTTGCCCCATTGATTTTTTCCTTTCATGAATGATTTCTCTTTAGCATGTGATGCTGTTTGATAGCATTTTACCCACAGGAGAACTTCTTTCAAAATTGGAAGCAATTCTCCCAAACCCTGCAGCTTCTTTATCAACTAAGTTGATGTAATATTCTAAACCCTTTGTTGTCATTTCAACAGTCTTCATAGCATCTTCACTAGCAGTAGATTCCATTTCAAGAAACCATTTTCTTTGCTTATCCATGTGAAGCAACTCCTCTTCTGTTAAAGTTTTATCATGAGATTGCAGCAATTCAGTCCTATCTTCAGGCTTCACTTCTAATTCTAGCTCTCTGGTTATTTCCACCACATCTGCAGTTACTTCCTCTACTGAAGTCCTGAACCCCTCAAAGTCATCTTGAGGTTTGGGATCAACTTCTTCCAAACTTCTGTTAATTTTGATATTTTGATCTCTTCCTGTGAATCAGGATGCTCTTTATTTTATTTTATTTTTTAGTTTTATTTATCTACATAATCTCTACACCCATCGTGGGGCTCAAACTCACGATCCCAGGATCAAGAGTCACTTGCTCTTTCAACTGAGCCAGCCAGGCACCTTGAATCAGGAATGCTCTTAAATGGCGCTTAGAATGGTGAATCCTTTCTAGAAGCTTTTCAATTTACTTTACCCAAATCCATCAGAGGAATTACTATCTATGGAAGCTATAGCCTTGCGCAGTGCATTTTTTTTTAATTTTTTTTATTTGAGTGTGTGTAGTTGACACACAATGTTACATTAGTTCCAGGTATATAACATACTGATTCAACAAGTTTATACATTCTGCTGTGCTCCTCACTAGTGTAGCTCCATCTGTCACCATACAACCCTATTACAGTACCATTGACTGTACTTATGCTGTGCCTTTTATTCCCGACTTATAAAAACTGTAGGTCGCTTCATGAATTTACACGTCATCCTTGCGCAAAGGCCATGCTAATCTTCACTGTATGGTTCCAATTTTAGTATATGTACCGCCAAAGCGATGTATTTCTTAAATAGTAAGACTTGAAAGCCAAAATTACTCATTGATCCATGGGCTGCAGAATGGATATTGTGATAGTAAGCATAAAAACAACATTAATCTCATCGTATGTCTCCATCTGATTTCTTGCGTGATCACGTGCATTGTCAATGAACAGTAATATTTTGAAAGGTATCTTTTCCTTCTGAGCAGTGGGTCTCAACAGTGGGCTAAATATTCAGTAGGCCATGTTGCAAACAAATGTGCTGTCATCCAGGGTTTGTTGTCCCGTTGATAGAGCACAGGCAAAGTAGATTTAGCATAATTCTTAAGGGCCCTAGGATTTTGGAAATGGTCAGTGAGCATTGGCTTCAACTTAAGAGTCACCAGCTGCAATAGCACCTAACAAAAGAGTCAGCCTCTTTTTGAAGCCAGACATTGGCTTCTCCTCCCTAGCTATGAAAGTCTCAGATGGCATCTTCTTCTAATATAAAGCTGCTTTGTCTACATTGAAAATCTGTTGTTTAGTGTAGCCACCTTCATTAATTATCTTAGCAAGATCTGGATGACTTGCTGTGGCTTCTATAAAAGTACTTCACCTAGGGGTGCCTGGGTGGCTCAGTCAGTTGAGCATCTGACTCTTGATTTTGGCTCAGGTCATGATCTCAGGGTCGTGAGATCAAACCCTGTACCATGCTCCATGCCAGGGCATGGAGTCTGCTTGAGATTCTCTCTCTCCCTCTTTCCCTCCCCCCCCACCCCAACTTGCATGCACTCTCTCTCTCTCATAAAAGATAAAACAAAATAAAAAATAAAAAAATGTATATCTTTAAAAGTGCTTCACCTTGAGGGACGCCTGAGTGGCGCAGTCAAGCATCCAACTCTTGATTTCGGCTCAGGTCCTGATCTCAGGGTCGTGAGACTGAGCCCTGCTTAGGCTCTGTGCTTAGCGAGGGGTCTGCTTAAGACACTCTCTCCCTCTCCCTTTGCCCTCCCTGCCCCCACCCTGCACGCACTCTTTCAGATAAATAAATAGGTTTTTTTTTTTAAAAATGTGCTTCACCCTTGCACTTATATGTTATGGAAATGGCTTCTTTCTTTAAACTTTATGAACCAACCTCTGCTAGCTTCATACTTTTCTTCTGCAGCTTCCTCACCTCTCAGACTTTACAGAATTAAAGAGAGTCAGGGCCTTGCTGTGGTTTTGGCTTTGGCTTAAGGGAATGTTGTGGCTGGTTTGATCATCTTTCCAGACCCCTGAAACTTTCTCCATATCAGCAATAAGGTTGTTTCACCTTTTTTTTTTTTTAAGATTTATTTACTTGAGAGAGAGCAAGCTAGAGACTGAGCATGAGCGGGGTCAGGGGGAGGGGCAGAGCGAGGGATAAGCAGACGCCCCGTTGAGTGTGGAGCCCCATTCCCCGGGCTCAGTCCTAGAACCCTGGGATCACAACCAGAGCCGAAGGCAGGCACTTGACCGACTGAGTCACCCAGGTGCCTCGGTTGTTTCACTCTCATCATTTGCATGTTCACTAGAGTGAACTTTCTATTTCCTTCAAGAACTTTTCCTTTGCATTCACAATTTGGCCAGCTGTTTGGTGCAAGAGGCCTGGCTTTCAGCCTTTCTTGGCTTTCAATGTGCCTTCCTCACTGAGCTTAATAATTTCTAGCTTTTGATTTAAAGTGAGAGACGTGCAACTCTTCCTTTCACTTGAACACTTAGAGGCCATTGTAGGGTTGTTAAGTGGCTCAGTCTGTGTCTCAGGGAATATGGAGGCCCTATGGAGAAGGAGAGAGATGGGGAAATAGCCGGTTGGTGGAGCAGTCAGAATACACACATTTATCAGTCAAGTTCACCATCTTATGTGGGTGTGGTTCATGGCAACCCCCCAAATAAATATAGTAGTAACACCAAAGATCATTGATCACCGATCACCATAGCAAAAAATTTGAAATATTGTGAGAATTACCAAAATGTGACACAGACACATGAGGTGAGAAAATGCTGTTGGAAAAATGGCACTGATAGGCATGCTTGACGCAGGGTTGCCACAGCCTTCAAATTTTTAAAAAAGCAACATTGCAAAGCATCGTAGAGTAAGGTACAATAAAACATGGTATGCCTATATTCATTGTGCTTGTTAGCAAGTACTGGAAAGTACCCTGCCAAGCTATCTTTTTGTTCTCCATTACCAGGAATGAATTAGGTGTAACTCTCTTTGAAGCCAAAGTCCTAGGATACCTTTAAGGCAAGTTTTTAGCCACAATTCTAAGATGTTGCCATCCTGAGTCTGCTTTCTCTGAGTCAGTGCTTAAGGAAGCATGAATGTGTTAACATCCACAGTTATAATAGGTTACTTAACTTAGTTACCCTCCAGGCAGAAATAAAAGGGAAGAAAAAACCAGTTCGATGAGGCATTTGGGAGTTACTGTTTTACAAGTGGCAATTTTATTTGTCCTCTATAAATTATCCTGTCTTGTGTCAGACTGCATCAGATTTCATCATCACTATAAATACCTACAATTAGTAAAGGACAAAAGTACGCTACTAGATAGACATAAACCAAATGTCATTGCAGTGGCAAAGCAAATGGTGACAGAATGGGTACAAAATTGTTTTCTTTAAGAAAAAGCATATTATAGGGGCGCCTGGGTGGCTCAGTCGTTAAGCATCTGCCTTCGGCTTGGGTCATGATCCCAGGGTCCTGGGATTGAGCCCTGCATCAGGCTCCCTGCTCTGCGGAAAGCCTGCTTCTCCCTCTCCCACTCCCCCTGCTTGTGTTCCTCTCTCGCTGTGTTTCTCTCTGTCAAATAAATAAATAAAATCTTTAAAAAAAAAAAAAAACATATTATAATTATGTTTAATCATTACTTTTCCTGATGGATTCTGTTACAGCATGCCTTATTTGAACAAAACAAACTCAATTTTACTGGCTTTTACTGTTTACATACTATTATTTTTATTAGAAAACTTTTTGAATGCTTATTTTAAAACTCATTATTAGGTGAAATAACAGATTCTGAGCAGCTTTGAGAAAAATCTAATGATTATTGAGGGAAGGTGTTTCATCCACAGTTGTAACATTACCATGGTAGAAATAATTTTTAATTTCTAAGATCAAATTTATTTTAAGTTCCACGTAAAGTCTTATTGTGCCTTACTTATGTATGTATGTATGTATTTATAAGTGGCTCCACTGACTGAGCCACCCAGGTACCCCACACATTGTGCCTTTAAAGTGACCTTTTAGTATGTAATTATCATACTACACATATTTATCTTAAACAGACTTCATCTTCTTTCTTTGGTATATATTATGATTCTGCTCAATTCAGTGACATTTTCAGAGGCCAGTCTGACCAGAGCTGGAATATTTCTTCTGCTAGCTTCCTGTACCTTCTGATCTTCAGGTGCTGATTTTTCTTTTGGGGGAAGAGAAGCCAAGGCTCAGATGTTCTAGGTGCTTTCGGATATTAGCGGAGTCGTTTCTGGAGGATCAGGTTGGTAGGCAGGAGGGAGCAGGTTTGGAATTCTGCTGAATCTGTGACTGTTTGTCTAGGAATGCAGACATGGAGATGACTCTGGAGCGAGCAGTGAGTATGCTCGATGCAGACCACACACCGCCACCCAGAATTTCTGCTGCAGCTACTTTCATACAGCACGAGTGCTTCCAGAAATCTGAAGCGCGGAAAAGGGTGAGTGTCATCTTAAGTCCAGTTTAAAATTACCATGCTTTCATATCTATTACAGTGGCCATGCAAACTGAAACATAGTTTATTTAAATTTTAAAAAATCTTGGGGCGCCTGGGTGGCTCAGTGGGTTAAGCGTCTGCCTTCAGCTCGGGTCATGATCCCAGGGCCCTGGGATAGAACCCGGCATAGGGCTCTCTGCTCAGCGGGGTGCCTGCTTCTCTCTCTCCCTCTGCGTTCTCTCTCTTGCTCTCTTTCAAATAAATAAATAAAATATTTTAATAAATAAATAAATGTTTAAAAAATCTTTGTTGAGTTATATGTCAATTATAGGTCAATTTTAAATACATTAATAGTCTTGAGACTTTTTTTAAAAAGATTTTATTTATTTTAGAGAGAGCATGCGTGTATGCACATGAGTGGGGGAAGGGAGAGGGAGGGAGAATGAATCCCAAGCAGACTCTGCACTGAGCATGGAGCCCGATGTGGGGCTCGATCTCACGATCCTGAGATCATGACCTGAGCCGAAATCAGGAGCCAGACGCTTAATTCACTGAGCCACCCAGGTGCCCTGGCATAAGTGTTCCATAGGACAGAGCTCACCAAAATGGAATCAATAGGTCATTTTATGTTTGTTGAAAAAGTGGTACATTTGTGCAGGAAAAAATCCTAGTTCGGAAAGGTATGTAGTGGAAACTGTTTCCCTTCCACACCAAATCTCAGCCTACTCCCCCATCTCCCTCACTCTCCTGTCCGCTCTCCTCCTCCCTCCCTCCTTCTCTCCCTCTCTCTCTTTCTCATCAATTTTTGGGTCTCTTTCCAGAGATATTCTATGCATACAGAAACAATTATGAGATGGGTTGGTTCGGTATCCTTTTTTAAAACAAAATTGCAAATGGTAGCAGATTATGTATAGTACCCTGCACTTTGTTTTCCTTTAGCCCTGCATCTTGGAAATGTTTGGTATATATTAACCCTACTTCATTCTTTAAAATTGCTACATAGATTTCTATTGTATAAATGTACCAGTTTTGTTTATTCATTTTTTAACAGCTTTATTAAGAGCCATTTAAGTTTTGCCTTGTTTTGACATCATGAAATCATCACAATCAAGATAATGAATATATTCATTACCTTCAAAGTTTCCTTGTGCCTCTTTGTAATCCATACTTCTGACCCCTCTCCAACCGTCTTCTGGTCCCCAGGTAACCAGTGATCTGCTTTCTGTTACTATAGATTATATAGAACTTACTAGAGTTTTATATAAATTATATAGTATATATGCTTTTCCTCTGGATTCTTTTACTGAGCTTTAATCTTTTGAGATTCATCCATGTCGTGTGTATCAAAAGGTGTGTGGGTGTGTGTTTGTTTGAGTATAGCTAACTAGTATTTCATTGTATGGATACACCTTAATTTGTTTATTCACCCAACTGTTCATGGACATTTGAGTTTTGGCTATTACAAATAAAACTGCTATGATCATATATGTACAAACATATGTTTTCATTTCTGTTGGGTAAATAAATACCTAGGAGTGGAATGCCTGGATGATATGGTAGTTGTATGTTTGACTTTTTAAGAAACTGCCAAACTATTTACAAAATAGCTGAGCCATTTTACATTCCTACCAGCAATGTGTGAGAGTTCTTGTTCCTCCACATCCTAATATTTGATCAATCTGAATTTTAGCCTGTTGGTTTATAGTAGTATTTTATTGTGGTTTTAACTTGCATTTCTAATGACTAATGATGTTGAACATCTTTTCATGTGCTTATTTTCCATCCCTATGTTTTCTTTAGTGAAATGTGTGTTCAGATCTTTTGTCCATTTTTTTCTTTTTTAAAAAATACTTTTAAAGATTTTATGTATTTGAGAGCAAGAGAGCAAGAGAGCACACAAGCAGGGGGGAGGGGCAGAAGCAGAGCAGGGAGCAGGGAGCCTGATGTGGGACTCGATCTCAGGACCCCGGGATCAACACCTGAGCCAAAGGCAGACGCTTGACCAAGCCACCCTGGCGCCCTTAAAAATAATTTTAAATTCCAGTTAGTTAGCATACAGTGTAACATTAGTTTCAGGTGCACAAAAGAGTGATTCAACACTTACAACACCTGGCACTCATCACAACAAGTGCCCTCCTTCATCCCCATCACCTATTTAACCCGTCCGCCCACCCACCTCCCCTCTGGTAACCATCAGTTTGTTCTCTAGAGTTAAGTGTCTGTTTCTTGGTTTGCCTCTCTCTCTCTCTTTTTTCCCCATGCTCATTTGTGTTGTTTCTTAAATTACACATGTGAATGAAATCATATGGTATTTGTCTTTCTCTGATTGACATTTTGTTAGCATAATACCCTCTAGCTCCATCCATGTCATTGCAAATGGCAAGATTTCATTCTTTTTTATGGCGAAGTAATACTCCATTGTGTATATATACCATCTCTTCTTTATCCGTTCATCAGTCAACGGACACTTGGGCCATTTCTATAGTTTGGCTGTTGTAAATAATGCTGCTGTGAACATAGGGGTGCATGTACTCCTTTGAATTAGTATTTTTGTATTCTTTGGGTAAATAATGCAGTTGCTGGATTGTAGGATAGTTTTATTTTCAATTTTTTGAGGAGCCTCCATACTGTTTTCCACAGTGGCTGCACCAGTTTGTGTTCAGTCCCACCAACAGTGTATGAGGGTTCCTTTTTCTCCACATCCTCATCAACACCTGTTGTTTCTTGTGTTGTTGATTTTAGCCATTCCGACAGGTGTGAGGTGATAGCTCATTATAGTTCTTTTGCCCATTTTTATTTGGGTTTTTGTTCTCTTGTCATTGAATTTTGACATTTATGTATTCTGGGTATAAGTCTTTTTTAATTTTTTTTCCAGATACATGATTTGGAAATAGTTTCTCCCAGTTGTATTTAATCTTTTCATTCTTTTAACAGTTTTTAATTTTGATGGAGTCTAATTATAAATTTTTTCTTTATGGATTGTGCTTTTCATGGTTATCCAAGAAATCTTTCTGGTCACTCACTCTAAGGTCACAAAGATAATCTATATATTCTTCCAGAAGTTTTATAAGTGTCAGATTTTATAGTTGGTCTACCATCCACTTGGGATGAATTTTGTATATATTGCAAGATGTGGACTGAAGTTTCTTTTAAAAGATATAAATATATTTATATGAGCAATTGTTTAGGTGCCATTTGTTGAAAAGACTATTGGGTCTAAACTGTATTTCTGCCTTTGTTGAAAATGAATTGATCACATATATGTGAGTCTTTTTCTGCACTATGTATTCTATTTCATTGATCTATTGGTCTGTCTTCATGCTAATCTCATACTTTCTTGACTACTATAATTTTATATATTAATATAGTTTTATATTGAAGATTGCTAGTGTTAGTCCTCTGACTTTATTCTTTTCAAGTGATTTTGGCTCTTCTAGGTCTTTTGCTATCTCATGAATTTTAGAATATTTCTTTATGAAAAAACTGAGATTTTGTTTGAGATTGCATTGAATCTATAGATCAATATATGGAAAATTTTCATCTAAACAATATTGAGTCTTCTGACCCCTGACCGTGGTATAGTTCACCTTTTATTTAGGTCTTCTTTAATTGCTCTCAGCTGTATTTTGTAGTTTTACTACAATATTACTAAATTCACTTTTAGCTGTAGTAGAGTATTTGTAGACTCATCAGATTTTCTACATAGAGCATGCCGTCTGCTAATAAAGACAGTTTTGTTTCTTTTCAATCTGGATAACTTCTATTTCTTTTTTCCTTTTTTCTTATTGTATTGGCTAGAACCTCTAGTGCAATGTTAAAAAGAAGTGAGTGGACATGTCTTGTTCTTGATCATAGGGGGAAGCATTTGGTTGTTCTTTCACTATTAAGTATGGTGCAACCTGTAAGTTTTTGTTTGTTTGTTTTTAGGAATTTAATCTGGGGGGTTTTTATGTGGTTCTTTTTGGAAGGAAGGAAGAAGTTTTATATTTTAGTATTTTTAACACCATTTCTTTTTCCTGCTTTTTTAGCATTATAATTGAATTATATTGATAATAATATAGATAAGCATTATTTTCAGGTGTACAACGTGATATGATATATATATATATTGTGAAATGATCACCACAAGTCTGGTTACCATCTGTCACCATACAGTTATAATTTTTTTTCTTGTAATGAGAACTTTTAAGTTCTACTCTCTTAGCAACTTCAAATATACAATACAGTATTAATAACTAGTCATCATGATGTACATTACATCTTCATGACTTGTTTTCTAACTGGAAATATGTATCTTTTGACCATCTTCACCCATTTCACCCATGCCAAACCCCCCATCTCTGGCAACCACCAGTCTGTTCTTTGTATCTTTGATTTTGTTTTTTGTTTGTTTGTTTGTTTTTGGATTCCATATATAAGTGGGATTATATAGTATTTGTTCGCTGTCTTTTTCACTCAGTATAATACCCTCAAGATCCATACATGTTGTTGCAAATAGCAGGATTTCCTTCTTATTTATGACTGCATAATATCCCGTTGTGTATATATACCACATTTTCCTTATCCATTCATCCATCAGTGGCTACTTAGGTTGTTTCCATGTCTTGGGTCTTGTAAATAATGCTATGGTAAACATGGTAGTTTATCTTTTTGAGTTAGTGTTTTCATTTCCTTCTGATAAATACCCAGAAGTAGAATTACTGAGTCATAAGGTAGTTCTATTCTTAACTTTTTGAGGAACCTCCATAATGTTTTCAGAGTGTACCAATTTACATTCCCACCAACAATGCACAGGAGTTCCCTTTTTGCCACATCCTTGCCAATACTTGTTATTTCTTGTCTTTTTGGTGATAGCCATTCTGACAGGTGTGATATGAGATCTCATTGTGGTTTTGATTTGCATTTCCCCGATGATTAAGAATGCTGAACACCTTTTCTGTATGTCAGCCGTCTGTATGTCTTCTTTGGAAAAATACCTGTTCAAATCCTCTTCTCATGTTTTA